GAATGAAATTTTGTCAATTACTCCGGTCCCAAAAAACCATCTAGATAATACCAATTGCGCAGCTAAGATTAGGGGAATTTGCCCTTTTTATTCACCACCTATATCGTTTGTTGGCTTGATCAGTCACTCAGCGCGCGCGTTATCGCTGAAATTTCCAATGAAACTTGCAAACCAGAAATCGTATTAACTTCCAAGTACTAATCGTGCGTTTAAAGCAACTATAGCATTACGCACCTACGTGTGCACAGATGTCTTCTAATGCTGCTATTTCTAAAAACTAGTCTGTCTAGTTGCACAGTTTTTTTCGATGTTTCCTTTCGAGTCGTTCGATATTCCCTTCTAGAAATTTTTTTCATACTTCCGCTGCCCGTAAGAAAGAGTGGCGTCCAAGATGAACCCCCTCAACTTCCCCTAAATAAAGTGAACTAGTATTAATTAAACTAAGTGGTGGAAGGTAACAGTTAAGTTGTTCGCCCACCTTGGATTCCCTTAGCCACGTAGTCCTGTGGTTACTTCCCCTTCCCCCACCTTCTTTCCTGGTCGCCGGACCCAACATCCTAAAACACTGGCGCCGGCATGCATTAGACGAGGGAACACCGAGATAAGTAATTACACTCCCCTCCCCTTCCCCGAGGACCATTAAACACTGCATATAACTGACCGTTTTAATCCCTGCAATTTTTTTGCCCCTAGGACGAATTACTAAAAAAAACATGTGTTTGGAAATATGACTGCTCCATCGTACATTGGAAATATTCACAGAAGTATTAGTTTTAGTTGAATTAAGTTTTTAGTTTACTAGTTTATTTTCACCTTTAGGTTACTTTAGTTTTCAGTTCAGTTACATACCGCCAACTTCAGATAAATATACCTAAACAAATACTATATAGTAAACTAACTAAAATTAGCGAAACTAAACAACTAAAACTTGAGTTAAACTAATAATCTAAATATTAAACTTAACCAAACTTACACTACCGGTCTCGTAAGACAGGATTTTGGGGCTAGGGGTATTTAACACGGATGAAAAACTTAACTTTTATGAAAATTTCCATGTTAAGTCCTGCGTGGTACCTAATACAAGGGTTGACGTGCGAACTAATAAAGTAAATTATTAATTGAATTAACACCAATTGTCGCGTAAAACAGAATTCTGGGGGCTAGGGGTATTACACATAGGCGAACAACTTACATTTGGCTAATATCTATCAGCTTTTTAGCGGTTTGGGAGAAAATATGTATAGTGCTCTTCTTTTGGACACGCTGTGCCTAATTTTCAGTCCATTCAGTTCGGTAGATCTAAAAGTACTGCACCCCGCCACATTTGCTCATTTTCTTTTCGAAAGTGGGTCTCCTGGGAAGATTCATAAAGCTGCGCAGAAGATTTGTTACGTGCTATAGCTGTTGCCAACTGCGGTAGAATGTTTTCATCAGCCAGCATCCCGGTACTGGTTTTGGTCTTCACCATCACAGTTTAGACAAACGCTATTTTATTTTTAATATTTATGAAGTTTACAAGCATGCAGTGAGTCATTCAAAGAGTATCAGATATACCGACTGACTTCGTCATTCTTTGAAGAAAGGGTTTTACTGTCCTAGCAGAACGCATGCCTGCTGGCAGGATAATCTGCGGGATTGGCAACCAGGAGAGAAGATAAACCCTGCAAATGCCTATAAGAGACTGACGCCCGGGTGCAGGGGCGGTTGCTGGTGGTAGAAGCTGAAAATATTTTACAGAAGAGCTGTTTAGCGTTCCGCATTCAGGGGTCTTGAAAGGTTTGAAATGCTTTCATCCGTTGCATACTCGTGCATCAGAGGTTGGCTGGTGACGCCGAGGTGGCCGGGGGATTCCAGCCAATGGCGAAGAGCCCGTTCATTTTGTGGATGAGTCATTCGGACGCCGAGATAGAAGTCATCCTGCAAGGGGCAACTCCAGGTCTTGTGGAGGGTGTTGACTCGTGGAGTAGATGATGCTGAGATGTCCCTACCGCCGGCTACTTCAGTTTCGAAGGCAGAACCACTCCGGGAAAGGTTGGCCGAACGCGAGTAGTTCGCTGGAAAGTCTAAAATGAAAAAAAGAGGTTTTTGTTATGCAAGCATAAACGTTTGTTGAGAAGAGTGCGGAAACCGATACGGTGCAGACCCGGTCAGTAGGCTAGGGTATCTATTCAGCCCAGGTTTAAACTGACACTGGTTGATGAACGTTCACCGATCGCTAAGAGAACTCACTCGTCCCTCTCTGCCTTGGGGCTCATTCCAGGGACCTGACAACAACCGTACAGGGGCTAATATTCGAGACATATAGTACTGCTGGCAAAGAGAAGGGAGACTGGAATGGCTGCTTCGGGCTTATTAGTCGTCGCCAGCCCGTCATACCCAATCTCAAGTGGTGCGCCAGCCGAAGCTCGAACAGGTGACCCTTGAACTTTGATCAGAATTTCGTCAAACGCGGAAATATCGACAACCCTATTATGTACGTAACATTTTGCTAAACAACAGGAGTACCAATTTCTTTTGTCCCAACTTTAATAGCCAATTTAACACTAGCGACCATAACCTTATCTCGGACAACATTAAGCATAACCTCATCCCCTGACCAGTTATAATACAAAATGTCCATATTCCCGGACCCTAATCGAAAAAGGCTTATGTCGTTTTTGAACGCCGAACGTTGATGGAAATTTTTACGTCTTACTTCGCCACTTTCGTCAGTGTGATTTTTGAAGGCGTCTGCAAGGACAAGACTTAAAAATCCACAGCATTCAAGTGTGAGCCACATATTTTGGAATTGTGCCGCATAGTAATTAGCCGTTCAATCCTACCTGATTAATCCTCTCTAACGGGAATAACATTCCGGGATAGCGGTTGAAATGCATCACTTACTGTGGCTGCTGGGAGCCTGCTTATCGCTACATTCTTATTCATCTATACGTAAAGCCTTAGTTAAAACAAAATTGAAAAAATTCCATCAGAGAATTCACAGGAATATCTGGCAGGCATACGTACCTTTCGATAAGCTCTCCTCGGGCTATTACATTTATATAGGGAGGGGGTAAAAAGTACCATGCTGGCAATTGTGTTCATCGTTACAGGCAAATTAGTCATGGCGTTTATCGAAATAAAACCTGGTCTGTAAAGTATACAAACTTTGACAGTTTTGTACCTATCCAACAGAAGCGTAACTTGATCCGCTGCCTAACGCAAAGAGCCAGAAAAATCTGCTGGGCAGACACTATTGAAATGGAGTTCCAGAAACTGCAGGACCTGCTCTGAGAAAATGGATATCCGGACAGATACATCATCAAGAATATAATGGAGAGAGAAGCAAAGCCCACTACACCCACTGTGGAAAAGAAGACCCTATTGCTCAAAGTCCCCTCTCAAGGGGATGCAGTAAGCGAACTCCTAAGCGGACGTCTCAAACAAGCCGTATAACGAACCTTTCCAGCAGAAAAAGTTCAAGTGTTATTCTCAACCAAACCGGCCCTGTACAGCGAAATTAAGGATAGAATGCCAACTCAGACCACTTCTATGTGCATCTACTCATTTACTTACTCCTATGTAGCAGGTTATACCAGTCGCATGAGTCGGCGTTTATCCAATAGAATACGGGAGCACCTTAGTTCAGTTCAGTTCAGTTTTATTAGGGAAATATAGGTAAATGCCTTTAAACTCCCTCTTTGTACATAGCTATGACGCAGAACATGTGGCG